CAGTTGTTGTCACAGTGTGCACCATTTGCTACAAATCCAGTTAGTTGCATAGACTAAAATTCATCAGCTGAAGTTGTTTATGCTGATGATTATTCTCATCCTTTCAGTTCTTAGATCTTCAGAAGGTGTTGAAAATAGGTTAAATGATCCAAAAGTCACTGTACAGTCACTATACGCTGTCAGCTGTACAGTTACAGCTGATACATGGACTCTGGGCCGCTTGTCTGAACCTCTGCATGGGGCTAATAGGAAGAAAAATTTTTTTCAGTCTCTAAAGGAAAGAATTCATGGCACAGAAGGTTGCTAAATTTTATTGCTTTCTCTGCACCAGGAGAGTATTCAAGAAGAGCTGAAAGAAATAAGGGGCTTAGGTTTGAAACTAGATTTTGCTGCCTTCATAGGCATTAAAAGAGGTGCCTGTGTAAGGAAAATTGTGTGAGAGTTCAATTTTTCCGTTTGCATTTGTAGATTCCAATAAATATATTTTTGTGATAATAAAAATGGATGAATCAAGAACATCTCCCCTAAGGCTTGAGGAGCAGCTTTTTCATCTCTTCCTTGGATTCCATTCTTAATCACAAGTAATACTAATAAAAGAATAGAACTCTTGAATAGGAGTGGAAATTAAGAAGGTAACCTTGTAGGTAAGGTCTGCACCATACTAGTAGAAGGCCTTACATTCTGCCCTCCAGAGACTGTAGGTCGTCTTTTGAATTTGCAGAAATCCTACAGAAAGTGTTTATGAGCTTGAAAGGTGATCCAGAGTTCTCCTCTTGAAATGATATTGCTAGGTTACCTGCCTTGTTTTTTTTTTTAGGTTCAGGTTTTTTTGTTTTGAATGGCTTATCCTTTCTCATTAATAAAATACAGTACTGTGCTATCTGATGCTCTTTCGTAGTCCCTTGTTGTGGCAGTGAACAAGATGGGCATCCAGCTATGAAGCAGAAACTATTTGCATGTGTATTGATTTGATCAAAGTTACATAATTACTGCTTTTGTTGGGCATTAATCATTCATGAATAGAGGCCTTTCAAGGAAAGAAAAATGTGAATCTTCTTATGACACAAAACCAAATCTTTCTAATAGTCAAAGTAGCAGTCTAAGAATGGTGGTGTTGTTTGTTCCCACCAAATTGCCTGTTCTGAACTGTTATGCAAGTGCAGGTTCTGTTTGGTGCGCAGTCTTAGTTATTTAGGAGCTGCACAACTCTGTCTTTTCTAAAAATAAGCAGTCACTCCAGCATATGCTGTTCCGAGAACTATAACAAGAGTAGTTTTGTGTACTTGAACCGTTTTGTATGTAATTCCCACTCCTGAAATGTTTTTGTTCAAATGCTGGAGTATTTCTGGCCACGAAACTTCTGGGGTTCTTTGCTTCCACTGATACAATCTCTTCGTTGTTTGGCGGGTGGGAGGTAAAATCTGAAAACAGACACCAAAATGGTATCTTCAAGCTGGTGAAAATATTCCATGCCAAGGGAAGATCCTTCCATCCTGATAGCCTTCTTTCCCTTCCCAATGCTTTTCTTTATTTAATCCATCCATCTTTTCTTAAGAATTCCTTTCTTGATGAATTTCTTATTTTGACTCAGTTCTTTTTTTTTTTAATCCATCCAGCTGGATTGTCTAGTCAGCATGAGAAAATTTTGGACATGATCTCAATTTACATACATAATCTATCACATTTTGGCACTGTCCTTTTGAACCCTTCTCTCCCCTGCGAGTCCTGTTTGTTGTCATTTCATTCTGTCCGTATAGATTTTTGTATAGAGATTTTTCTTTTCTCATCAACTTCATTTCTCTCTAGATTCCTCCCAGTTAATGCAACTCTTGCATTGACTGTTAAGCAGAACTTCATAAATACATTTATTTGTATCTAGAATCTGCATTTAAACCATTAGCCTGCATTGTGGTGCCTTGGCATGCATGTACAGTCGCCTGGAATTTGTGACTGTTTTTTCCAGAAGATAATGCATGCTGTTTCAAAGTCCTGAAGCAGTTTGAATGTCCAGTTAGATTGGAAATGTCTTAAGAGGATTGTGATGGATGGCTATAGGCTGTTTTGTAAAGACAGGCAGGGAAGAAGAGGAGGAGGAGTTGTACACTATGTTAAGGAGAACCTTAATGTATAGAAGTCAACTATGGCAATTGTGGAAGCCCTATGAGATGCCTCTGGGTCAAGATCAGAGAGGTTGTCTCCAAGCGGGATCTTACAGTACGCATTTGCTACCGACCTCCAAACCAAGACGATAAGGCCAACAAAGCAATATTTGGGCCACTTAAGCAAGCTTTGGGTCAACAGAACCTGGTTCTTATGGGTGACTTCGACTACCCAGACATTTGTTGGAAGAACAATACGGCAGCTCACGTGTTGTCCATCAAGTTCCTGGAATGCATAAAGCACTGTTTCCTCATACGAATGTTAGATGTGCCAGCCAGGAATGAGGTATTGCTAGACTTGCTACTCACAAACAAAGAAAACCTGCATTGTAACATCTCGGTTAGTGATAGCCTTAGCTGCAGTGATCACAATGTTGTGGAGTTTGGGATCCTGCTGAGCACGCTGAAGCTGGTACTAAGACAAAGATTTTAGACTTCAGAAGAGCAAGCTTCAGCTCACTGAGAGTTCAGTTGGGAGGGATTCCATGGGAAGGTTCCATGCAGGATAAAGGAGGTAGTGAGTGCTGGGAGTTTTTCAAGAACACTCTCCTGGAAGCACAGAAACAGTTAATCCCCTTTAAAATTAAGGGAAGTAGGCAGAGCAAGAGACCCCCTCGGCTTAACTGTGTCTGCTGAAAACCAAAAGAGAAGTGTACCAGAGATGGAAAAGTGGACGAACACCCATTGAGAACTACGAGGGCACTGACAGGACGTGCAGAGATGCAGTTAGAAAAGCAAAAGCTCAGCTCGAGTTGAAATTGGCCAGAGATGTCAAAAACTACAAGAAAGGGTTCTCCAGGTACGTAAACAACAAGCAGAAACAGAAGGAAAATATTG